TCTTATAGCCAAGCATCTCTAGGATCACTGTAGCTGTGGCGTAGGTCAGCTCATTGGTTTCAGTTATGTCCTTAGTAGGGATAGTATGTAGTGCTGCATTTACATCTTCTAGAAGGCTTTCAGAGGGTACTCTGTCACTTAGCCTTGGTGGTCTTGGTCGTCGTACTAGGGGATCCAGTTTCGTTATGATCTGCTGTCGCAGGTCAGCTGCCCTTACGTTTAGTGGGCCTGTTGTAGTTGGGGCTGGGGACCCAATCTCTGTGTGTTGGGATGATGATATTTCCCTACTGACCTGTTGTCCTGACTCCCCCTTGCCGCAGCATGTCAGTTGTACCTCGTCAATTTCTAGCTGTGAAAGGAGCTGCCGTTTGCGGATGTTGGAACACTGTGTTAGTAGTTGTTTCTTTGTCAATGACGACAATGGTTGTTGGAGCTACCATAATTCCCATAGTCTCTGCATGTAACCTCTCTCACTGGGCATGCTTGTATAGTAGCATTTCATCAGTGCCAAGTTTTCTGCTCTAGTCCATCTATGTCTTGTTCCAGTAGCCAATTTGTCATCAAGTTGCCCTGGTTCCCTAGCAACTGACGCGGACCTTGGTAACCCGGGCGACGTCCGAGCCGGTATGGCTCTTGTATTTGCGGTATCACTCATGCCTGAGGTAGGCCACTAAGCACAAAGGACCTTGCCTAAGGGTCCACCTGGATGATGTCCCTGCCGGGAACAACAGTAACTTAGTGCTAAACACATAATAACATGCCAGGTTCATATCCAGTCCGTATTTTTGCACCAGCCCATCTATTCACTGTGAGGTGAAATTTGTTGTATTATTACAATTCTCATGTTTAATAAAAGGAAATTTAAAAAATTAGCATTTGAGAAAGGTTGGAAAGGGTTTGAAAGTAATTTATAATGTGTATGAAAAAGTTGAACCAATGTTTTTACTTTTGGTTCTGATGTTTTTCCCAATTTATATATTATTAAGTGCATTTTTAGTGGTTTTTATTTTAGTGTTTATTTCTTACATTCAGATTATTTTTTCATTTTTTAAGTTATTTTTTTTTTTAATTCTTTTGGGGGTTTTTTGAGGGGGGAGACTGAGTTTTATGCATTAACTTTTTCATATATTGCTGACAAGACTTCTAGAAGGAACAATATTGGTCTGTGGGAAGAACCAATAGAAATGAGTCTCTCATGTGTGGACATTGGCAAAAGCGTTTTGATTGGTCTGCAAACAGACAATCTAGAGGTGTAGATTATAAAATATGGAAAACCAAAATTGAAAAAAAAAAATGCAGTCTGTGAAATCAAGCCTCTGAAAATATAAGTTAAATAAAGAAAACCTAAAAATAAGAGATAAAAAGAGATAGGTAGGTTAAAAAAAGAAAGAAAAAACTTAAAAAGAAGAAATAAAAAATAATAAATAAAAACAACTGAATCAGGGAAAATATTTGAAAAAAAGTAGGAACTAAAATCTGAGGGGCAAAAAATATATTTTGCATTACAGTAATACTGTAATCTCAAAACCTCATTTTTGATTGAAAAGTTTTTAATGTTAATTTTTTTAAGCTCTTTTTTAGGCTCTTTCCTGTTAATAGAATTAGAGCACATTTCTCTATCATTTAAAAGAATTATGTCCTCTACATACTGTCAGTTAATTGCAGTCATAAGGATCTACATGGTATCAGTCTGGTTACTTGTGACCAGCAGGATGTTTGGTGCTCTCAGATCCGCGTCACCTCTTTCACATCCATTTAACGATCCCACAGATGCCTAATTGTTTCCCTAATGATGCCGAGTCTAATGGGACTGTTTTTGCTCTTCATTTGATAGTGCTGGCCCAGTAATTAGACTGCACCTCACTTCATTAAACAGCAGGAGGGGAGTTTGGGGGTGGGGGGCTAGATTAGGGCCTGGTGACGTCTCAAAATACAGATGCAACAAGGGGAAACAGCTACACCATGAAACGATTCCTTTTCCTCTTATCTCTGCGTCTCTGTTGTTCTGCCTTGGAAAAGATGTCAACGCTTTTTCTAAAACATGTTCGCTTAAATAAGATTTTTAAATAGATTTGCTCTTTTCATCCTCATGTCATGAGATTCATCTTAACAGAAATAAACATACATGTTTATGAAAGCCTTTTTAAGTGAACTAAAGGCATATTTCAATGAGTAAAAATATTATTTTCATTATGTAAAATATTTGTTGTTATTTTCAAACCTTGAGGAAGAACACTCCAGTACACTGCAAATGGCTTTTTTTTAAGGAAGTCAGAATACTGTCAAAAGTGCTCAGACATAAATGGTTATACAATCCATTTTATTTCAAACACAAGTATGTAAACCCATATAATGCATATTATGAATGCTTTATGCATCCAGATGGTCCCTCTCTTGCTTTTGATGCGACTGTAGATTCTCTCCTAGCTGCGAGTGAACCTATTATTGTGCGCTCCGATTAATTTTTGCAATGTTGGATGGCTGGATAATAATTTGTTTTCCATGTGTTCATGTCACTCACAAATATGCAACTAATTTAATGCAGATTTAAGTCAAATAGTTAAAAAATACCAGGAAGGGTAGAGGCAATTGGGTCAGCTTTCTTTTTTTTTCAGGGAGTTGGCAACCATACTTCAGGCTAATAGGCTAAGTTAAATTAAAAAGAAAATTGAAGTTATCATTTAATAATTTTGTTTAACACAGTTATGACTGTGTCCTGACAGAAGTGGAAATATACTCTAAAATGTTAAATTTGGTACTTATGAGCTTAGCTAACGTATGAGCTTAGCAAACGTTAGCTTCTTTTTGCTTTAGAAAAGTGCACCTTGAAAGAACGCTTTTTTTGTAGTTAAACACAAGTATTTACATTTCTAATCCAGTAAAAAAAAATTGTTTTGATATTTTTTCCTTTTGTGTCAGTATTGTGTTTCTAAAAAAGCAGAGATGAAGTCAGACTACTACTCTTGAAGAGCATTGATTAGCCCGAAGCTGTTTTGCTAATGTTAATAGCCACTGTCACTACCCGATCCGTCCCAAAAGCATGATCTTCCCTACCCCATGATCTATACCATCAGCGTATTTGGGCGACCCTTGAATTTTTTTTGTAAAAAAAACTAAATGATATTTTTCCCTCCCAAAAAATAGTAAGCTTACTAAACTATAATGTGTTAAATGTTAATGTATTTCCTTGGAAAATAAACGCATTTAAATCCTTTCTGTTTCATCAGTTTCTTTGCATGAGCTGAACAGGAAATAGGAACACTCCTATCTCCTATGCTACTTCCGGGAGCTAAGTTTTTCAGCTTTGGATTTAAACATAAATCTAAACGTTTTGAGTGTTATTTTTTCCTTTTCTGTTAACAATATGTGTACAGTGCATAACCTAAAGAAAGAAACAACTAAAATGTCAATGATCTTCATTCACATGCCGTTCCCTCCCCACTCTCTAATTATCATTTGATAATTCAACTGCTCCCTTTGGTAGATATATGGTTCAGCCCAGCTATTGGGGCCAGATCATTATTCTTAGTTTATTTGTGTATTCTTAGTTTATTCGCCTTATGTTTTCGTGTCAGTTATTCATGTCTGTTTCATGAGTTTTAGTTGAATCCCTTGTTCTTGTTCCCAGAAACCTGAGGATATAGAGGGTTTAATGTTTGTCTCCTGTCTTCTGATCGTGTCCAGGCTCTTCTCTGCTGAGCCCTGGGGGAGGTCAGAGCACCAGTTTAAAGTTCTGCAGTAATTCCGGTACCATGTCTTTTCTTTGTCCCTCAACCAATGAGCCTGCTTCTCTCCATCAGAGAGCTCACTGCTAGACCGATGGAACCCTGAACCTGCCTGAATGCTCTGTGGATTCCTGGAACCCTAGATATGTCTGGATCTGATGGAATCGCAACCTTTAGTTGGGCTACAGGCTCCTGGATTCCAGAATTGTTCCTGTCTGATCTGTATTCCTGACCTGGATCGGGTGGTTTGAATTTGAACAGGTGTTTTTGAGTAGGAAAAGTCGAGGTCGAGCAGTCCGCTGTTAAAATTTTCAAAATGAAATGTCTTAGGATGTTTTTCATAACCATGTTGACGTAAATACTGAGATATATGAAGGGCCATAAAATACATGATAGATTGATGCATTCTGTTGTTTTTTTATTATTTTCAAGGGCTGAAATGTAAAATAATAATAAAAGATTATCAAATTCATATTTAAATCCTTCATTTCAGTTAAATAAACCATCTAATTTTAAAAAGCACAAAGAAATATTTAAATACCCAATAATATAGCTGAAAATACAGTTAAAATGATCATTTAAATAATCAAAAGTCATTAAAAATGTCTGTCTATTTTAAAAATACTATAATTACTTTATAAATATAATAAAGGAAATATGTTATATGTAGCAAGTCTTTGTTTTGATTAAATATTTTTGTTTGAAATGTTTGGGAGTCACTGATCATGACTTAACATATTGAATATAAAATTAAATTTTAAATTCCCCCATTAAATTTAGAATGTAATATAATTAGTTTATACATTTATACACTTAGAGTGAAGTGTTTTTTGGGGTCTCCAGTCTGTCACATGTTTTGGAACCCCTACTCTTCTTAGCATAACAGCTTCTAAATGTCTTCTTTTTGAAAACATGTTGGGATGAACTCATTTGAAATCCTGTGTTAAACAAATCTGAAAGCCTAAACGCAACGCACAAATCCTCTGGTGTGCCATTTAATAAATATACCCAAAACATTTTACAAAGCCATCTGAATTCTAACTTTTCTTTTTTTCCACTCTATAGATGCCATTATTTCTCAAAATATTAATATTCTACAGCTTCTACATCCAGCAGAAAACAGAGAATCAACTTGCTGCTGAATGGCTACCTTCTTGCTTTTATGGGGGAAAACTGATGAGCTGAACCTCAGGCGCTGTCCATGGTCCTGGACAAATCCAAAGTCAGCCACCTGTGCCATTCAACTCTCAACGGTTCAGATTTCTGTGTTCTTACCTTCAGGAAGGAGAGATTGCGGTTTCTATCAATGCTGGTAATCTCCAGATTACCCATGACCACCTCGCAGTTCTCGTAGAGCTTCCTCAGGGTGCGGTATTGCTGATCCAGGTCGGACAGCGTGCTCAGCTTGTTCTCCGTTCCAGGGCAAACTAAATAGGGAAACACAAATAAATGGGAGGGTTTACACTAAGGCCACTTGTCCTTTGTTTTAAAGTGAAATAAAAGTAAGGGACCGAATGAAAAGAAGGGAAAAAGGGGGAAAAAAACGAGGAAAAGACATGCCCTGTGCTGTGTGCTGTGCATCGAAAGCTTGTGCTACACGGACCATAAAAAGGGACGGACAGCAACAGCAGGATCAGAAGCAGCAGACTAAACTAAAAGCTAATTCTAAACAGCTCATATGGCTGGCATCCTCCAGCGCATGAGTGGAGAGGCAGAGATTAACTGTGTGCTAATGTAGCTCTATAACACCTGGGTTATAGAGCTACCTAAATCCACCTAAATTTTTTTTTATTTCAAAAAAGTTTAAACATTTGGCAAAGTTAACATTTAGATCCTTTGATAAACAATTTATAGAATAAACTAAAAAGCTTGAAATAATTTATGTATTTGTAAAGTAAATAATATCAGTAAGCAGTGGCAGAGCAAGAAAATTTTCATAGAGGTGGCCAGTGATTGGCCAGGTAGCTAGAAGGGGTTATGAACTGCTAGAGGTGTAGCTAGGAGGTGGGGACATGCTCCATTTTAAAGTGAAAGAACTTAAGTTTACCCACTTTTGTAGGAGTTCACAGTGGTTTCTTTAGAGTTATTTTATCTAAATAATAATAAATAATAATTCATTTAATTTATAATGCACTTTTCACCAAAAAGGCCTCAAAGTGCTACAGAAAAGCATAAAAGAAAAGCATTAAAAAAGAAATACATAGAGATAAAAGAAATAAAATAATAAAAGCTGTTTTAAAAGAGAAAAAATAGACATCTAAGGGGGACCAAAAGTTTTGCTAAAAAGAAATGTTTTATCTGCATTTTTAGTAAAAATAATATACCGTATTTTCACGACTATAAGGCGCACATAAACGTCTTTTTTTTCCCTCAAAATGTGCGGTGCGCCCTTTGGTGCGGTGCGCCCTATGTATGTTGCAGGTGCGACTTTTGAGACCACCTCATTGAGGAGATGATGAAAGAGTGGCTGAATGTAAGGAGACCAGGTGTTTTTTTTTCCACTCATCACCACACCATCGCTGTTAATCTGACTCCATGCGTGCCCATCTCACAGCTGATGTGAAAAACATGGTGAAACAAATTAATGTGCTCGCTGTGAACCGGACGCAGCAGGTGCAGCAGAAGCAGCGATTTTACATGCAAAGTCAACGGTTGACGAGTGTACAGGCGCAGCAAAAGGTCCCGCAGTGCGTTTTGAGCAGCAGGCGCAGCGCTTCGGGAGCGCGCAGCCAACGCGCTGCTGCTGCTCGGGATGGAAAAATTGAAGTTTTGCTGCTGGAAGCGCCGCATCAACGAATCAGAGAAGCTGATCTGGGAGCTGACAGCGAGACAGACACAGCGCTCTGATGACATATTAAGGCAAATGGAAAGGGCTGGATGGATGAGGAGATGATGAAAGCGTGGCTGAGGCAGGTGTATGTGAGGAGAACAGGTGTTTTTTTCCACGCATCATCATCGCTGCGTGCCCATCTCACAGCCGATGTGAAAAACATGGTGAAAAAAAATAAACGCTGTGCTCGCCCTCATCCCGGGGGTCTGACAAAGGAACTTCAACCGCTCGACATCGGTGTGAACCGGCCGTTCAAAGTAAGGCTGCGAGCGGCGTGGGAGCGATGGATGACAGACGGAGACCACAGTTTCAGGATAAGTGGAAGGCAGCGCCGGGCATGTTGCGCCACCGTTAGCGGATGGATTGTAGATGCTTGGACTAACGTGTCTGTTGGCTCTGTTGTTCAAGCTTTCGCAAAAGCCGGCATTATTTCTGAGGAGCCGCGCTGCACGGAAAGTGGCTCTAACAGCGCAGAAGGGGAAATTGGCATGTCTGATTTAGCGCAGCTGTTTAATTCAGAAACAGAGGATGATGACTTTGATGGGTTCGATTAATACTTTGTAATAAATACATGAATAAAGCACAAACATACTCAGTTTTGCTCCCGCTCTATTTTTCTACCTGAAAACTTAATTCAACAGCAGCCTCTGGGCGCGTCTCCTCCTCTTCACCGCGGTGGCTGGCAGGTGTTTTTTCATCTAAATGATCTAAATCTTGCAGCTATATTTGCTGTGATCAGTGGGAATAAAGTAGTTTTAATATGTTTTTAAGTGAGAAAGGCCACCTGAAAACTTAATTGCAGTCAGTTCATCCAGATTATGTATTTCTGTCGGAGGCGCTCAGACCCCCACATACCAGCGGTGCACCGACAGTAGAAATCCTTTCAACAGCAGCCTCTGGGCGCGTCTCCTCCTCTTCACCGCGGTGGCTGGCAGGTGTTTTTTCATCTAAATAATCTAAATCTTGCAGCTATATTTGCTGTGATCAGTGGGAATAAATTAGTTTTAATATGTTTTTAAGTGAGAAAGTCCACCTGAAAACTTCATAACTGCAGTCAGTTCATCCAGATTATCTATTTCTGTCGGAGGCGCTCAGACCCCCACATACCAGCGGTGCACCGACAGGAGAAATCCCTTCAACAGCAGCCTTTAGGCTGGGCAGCCTCCGGGTTAACCGCGGTGGCTGGCAGGTGTTTTTCATCTAAATAATTTAAACTGCAGGCACCCATAAAAGCGAACATATTCTGTCGGCAGGTTTCAGGATTTTAAGTTAATTTAGGAGTAATCACAGCTCTGTCATCAGCGATGTGTCTGTCTCACGGCCAGCTCCCAAGTTTGATTAATACTTTGTAATAAATACATGAATAAAGCACAATCATACTCAGTTTTGCTCCCGCTCTATTTTTAAATACGCAGTAGAGGTATTTAAAGGTAGTAGAGGACATGTACCTGTATATAAAAAACGCGCCCTATAGTCCGGTGCGCCTTATGTGTGTGTTAAATACAGAAATGGGACACATAACTGAGACTGCGCCTTTTAGTACGGTGCGCCTTACGGTCGTGAAATTACGGTATGTAGAATCTTAATTATACAGGTATATTGGTTATATTTAATAATTTATTCATTCTGATATGAAAAGGTATGCTTAAAAAAAAAGTATCTATATTTTGAGAACATATCTACAGAAACAAAGAAAGTATAATAATGTACATGTAAGCAGGGGATAGACAATAAAGTACCTTAAAATGGCTAAACAAGTTTACATCTCCCTGTGAAATGTGGAGATGTGGAAGAATCCAAGATCCAGTATGGAAAAACTCAAAAAATATTTTGGCCTAGACTGGAGCAACTCTCTGAAAACAGTTCTTTTTCCCTTGATGTTCTGGAGGAGGATTCACTACAACTTAAGTGTTTCTGTAGCTCGGTTTGTTTTATTAATATCAGTAATTATTGGATCAAGCCAAGCTGTTGCTTTACAGCAATGCATTACAGGATTAGTCAGGCTCTATTTACAGTAGCAGCCATTCAAAATGGCCCTTCCCAGTGAAACGCCAGCCGAATGGCAGCTCACTTCCCTGCAACTCCCATCAAAATCCCCTTCAACTTCCAGCCATTAGAGAGATCCCCTCGTTTTCCTGGACTCCACCCTTTCACTGCATTACAGGGTCTGATCAGGAGATGAGATCGTAATGTCCAAAAATTTTAGAACAAAGATTGATTTTTAAAAAGGAATTGTAGGGGACCAGCCAAAAGCTCATCAATGAAAGTGGAGAACTTTTGAATGGCTGCTACCATCTGGCTCTCTGATAGGTCCATGGTTCTGCCAGCAGATGCCACCACATCTATTTATGTCAGCTTAATATGCCCATGCAGTGTATTCTCATTATGAGTTCGTATGAAATTGTACGAAAAGTTATGCACCGTAATTATGTACGTTTTTTGACGTTTTTTCGGCGTATTTTGTTGTATTTTTACATCTTGCCTCGAGACAAGATATCCTTGCGCATGCGCATCTTACGCACCATTCAATAACATAGAATTTAACATACAATTAACCCTTACCCTAAGATACAAAACAGCAAGCTAGTTAGAGACATGAAGAAGTAGTAATTGCACTGTTTTTCCCAGCTTTACGTACGTCCGTGGATCTGCTTGTTACGTCTGTCTATCTGCGCATGCGCACTGATCTGTTTTTCGAGGAAAAACGTTCAAAATACTGTGCATAACTTTTCGTACAATTTCATACGAACTGATAATGAGAATATGTTGGCCCATGCTGAAATTCTATTTAGACTCATAAATTACCCTCTAAACATTATCAGGATGCTCGCATGCTGCATAAAACCTTATTTTCAATCAATGTCCCTTTAAGTTTCTAGTTATTTTTTTCATTTGGCCATTAAAAACTTCTTGGGGGTTTAGATTCATAGTGGTTAGTATTATTTTGTTTATAGTATATGTACATTTTAAATAATGCTGGTACACTGGTTATATTTATGGATTTGTTTTACATCTTTTAGGGGATGTTTAGAGGTTTTTACTTGCTTCTGGACCACTTGTACAGAAACATATTCTATGATCCATAAATAAAAATGGTATTTTGAATGGAATCCAAACTGTTTAGATGCATTCATCCTTTTCTAGTGGAGAAATCAAAGGAGAATTTGACATTTATTCTGGAAAAAAAGAAAAAGGTTTATCCGCTGCTTACTGTGAGATTATACACACAACCAGCGATCTGGTTTTGAGCAGTGAGAGCCTGATCTCACATCAAGTCAAAACAAAGGTTTCAAACAGTCGGGGAGTCCAGATATTACGTAAAACCCTGGAGTGTACTGACACAACAAAGAGAAAGAAGTGACGGTGGGGCCATGCAAGGTTACCGGGCGGATATCGTCTCTCTGAGGCAGTGACCTACAGTTTTTGCTCTGATCCCAACACAACGTTTAATCAGAGTTATTTAAATTGCCTTGGTTGACCTTTTCAGTAGGTCTCACTCTCAGACTTCATTCCCTGACATGGCTGCAGGATGTTGAAGATATTATAAAGAGCAGAATGGTGTGGACTGGGAAAGTGGGAAATTGGAAAGTTTTAGCT